ACTAGGGGGGGGGGGACGTTTTTATAGAAGGGTGAGTCGCTGCAAAGTGCTGAACTTTACGGGAAAGTCAAAGTGCCTATGTGTCAAGTGATGGTAGTAAGTTCAAGGAGTCACTATCCCAGCATTGACCGTCGCAAAGGGTGGGTGACAAAGTTGTCCCGCTTTCGAATTTTTTCCCAAGGTCATGTTTGGCTCTTCTCTGTGCTTCTCACTGCCTACATATTACAGAAGAAAGACAACCACGGTAACGGACCAATCGAGACGGCAAAAGCACTGCGTATCTTCTACCTGTTAGAGCCATCGATTGATGTGGAGAGGTTCTTTTTGCAGTGATTCGCTTCTTCTTAGGGCATTTGATGCTCAGATACAGTAGTCCATTCGTTTAGTTGGATTGACACATTCTTGGAGCACATGGCGACCTATCGTGTTAACTCATCCTCAAGGCTCTACTGGACCTCGTCAAAGAGTTTGACAAGTGAAATGGAGCGCAACAGCACGGTATGTCGATAGCATATACTCTACCTCATGGGTAGCTGTGGGATAGTAGAATGAGCTGCTATCATTCACGCCGTTCGTGGGTTGGGTGCCGTACAGGTCATCGTGTCCCTTACCGTGTATCTTCGGTAGTCGTCTTTGGTAAAGGGTTCTGTCATCAGGAGTCTTTAGGAATGGGCTTCAAACTCCACACACTCCACTGAGTCCATATGTCCTCCTCAACCAGGCGACTGCATAAAGGCTCATGTCAGCGCCAGGTGTTTTGGCAATGCTCCCACGAGCTCAATTCATGTAACTAACATTATATTGGGCTGAACCATAATTTCTGGCCGAATTTCGACACTTTCATTTCATTGAGTTTTTTCTTTCCTGGAGAATAACTGATCAACAATATAACCACCATCGCAATCGCTGATATGCATTCATTTGCTAGGCAGCGAATGGATGCATTCCTCTCAGAACGAGTGGAGCTATGGGATGAAGAGTTCGGAGAGGTCGTTTTTTGGGTGGTTGTATTCAGTGACCCTTTCTCTCGAAGTACTGCTTCAGGGCATCGAGAAGGGGATAGTGCGATGAAGTAATGTTAGGGCTATACGATAGATGTGGTATCGCGATCCAGCCAGTTTCCCTCAGAAGGTGGCGAGTTATCTTCGCAATGTAAGGTCGGGCGTTCATCCGGAGGAAGGAGATTTTGAGACGTTTCGAATGGTTCTCTCGCACTGCTGCGGCCAACCTCGGGAGTTATTCCATGGTTATCTTCGCAGTGGTTGTCTATATAAGATGAAGCGGTTCTCAAAGTGGGATACCCGACCAATCCTACAAATGGGGGTAATATTCTCTGACGAAAGAGGTCGGGTTTTGGGTGAGATGGTGGGTTCAGGCTGCGAGATAGCCATAAGGCGTGCCGCGTGTTGTTGTCGTAGTGGACTCATGACTCATCTCCACTGGTGACCGACTAGGGAAAGTCCAGGCTATGCCTGCGCAGAATGAAATTTCTGCAGATGGTCAGGTCTGCTTCTCGGTCATGGTCAGAGATGCATGCCGTTCCCATCGAAACTTCATTCTGCTACAGCCCGTTTCATTCAGACAGCTTGCGGTGGTGCATCGGCTGTGCCCAGGTATCTGCTACAAATCTCAGGTGGTAGCGTCCGGGTGAACTTCCGATTCACAGCGCAATGGATCCTCATCGAAAGTGACTGGGGGCCCAGGATGAGGTCAAACTTTGCAGCTTGTATCGCCTTTGCCGATGCTATTGAGCCAATAGCTCAGTGCCCGATCAGTAGCAAAGACTGAGGCAAACACAGCGCTGGTCTTGCCTACTGCACTCCTTGCAAGGTTCTTCTTTAAATGATCGTTAAGCATAATCGCCTGCTTTGGTCGTTGATCCATTTCGATCCCTACTTACTTATTCCACTGCCCTTTGACCTTCTGGAACATCCTAGTTTAAGGTACTGATGCCTCCTTCAACATACTAACTTATTTCGTAATGACACTAATTTGACATGAAGAAAATTGATTCTGAAAAAATTCGGCCAGGAATTATGGATCAACCCAATAGTATCCTAAGAGCACTGCCCACATATTCTTGTGTAGGAGGACTCACGCTCCTGGCTGAGGAGGATAACATGGCGTAGAAGACTCCTGGCGACGCTAAGGCGTTTTACTCTGTCGCTTTTCCTCATCAACAATTGAACCTTTCAGCTGCTGATTCCCTTCATGCCGTGGGCGGCGACGTTTTTACTGGTGTTCTGCATGGTCGCCTGCTCGTCCAGAGATGTTGTTAGGTACTGATTGCCCAGAACTGAATGTTACTGTTGCCTG